TATCATATCTTGTTTATGAATTAATTCATTAAAAATAATGCTTCTTTATAAATATTGGTAATATTTGGTTGAGAAATGTGATAATTCGAAATCAATATATTTTGAAAAGTAACATTGTTATAATTTTGATCGTTTAAAAAGATTCAAATTAATTAATATTTTTTATAATATACATCTTAATAAATATATTACTAAAATGATATTGTTAAGAATTTGTGGAGGAAAATATTATTAGATAAATTGAAATAAAATTTTCATCTATACTTAATCTATATAAAAATTTCATAATTATCTTATTTGTTAGTTGAAAGGCAGTTTTTTAATTTGCTCATACCAAATCTAATATTAGATTTTTAACTTTAAAACTAAAGTTTTCAATAAAATCTAATTTCAGTTAATAAATATTAGAACTTCAGCACCTTTATTTAAATAATAAAATCTGATTGGAACTCAACTCTGCTTTTCAAAATAATTTTCATGTACTCGAAATGTAATACTCTTAGCTCTATATTGCTTATTAAATAGTTATTCAATTTTCATTCAAGATTCAAATGTTGAATTTAAGACTTTCTTTTTCAAATTGATTTCGATATTTTATCTAAATATTTACCTTACTTGATAAACAGCAAATAGTTAATTTTAGGAAATTGAGTTATAGTATCAAGTATTTTGAATAATTCTACATTCTAACAAATTTTAAATAATTTTTTTAACAGAAATTTTCAAATTTATACCACACTTTGATTATTGAAAAATTCATATTCAATATTTTGTTATTTTTATTTATAACTTTAGGGTTATATCATTTCCAATTGATTGGTTCTTTTAAAATATAATTAAAATAAGGTCTCTTTTAATTTAATATTTAACCTATTCAGAGAGGAAACTTGCTGAAATGTTTCTTACAACTTCATAATTAATTCTGCAACTATATGATAAATTTTCATTGATATAATATAAAATAAGTGTCTGCTTAAAAGCATTTGGTAGATAAATTGAATTTACTATATTTACTTTTTCAGTTTCTTCTAATTTCATCAATAACTATTCAATATAAAATAATGTGATTAGCTTATTTTAATCTTGGATATATAAAATTCTTTTTCCAATAATTTTTAATATAAATTCAATTGAAATTAAAGAAAAATAACAAATATTAGTTTAGATAAGACAGCATTTTAGATAAGTTAGTATGAAGACAAGGCAACTTTCTGATAAAAATACTGATAATACATTTATTTAAAATATTTCTTCTTCAAATTCTATAAAATATAGATGAATTATATGATATTAAATATTTTCATTTCAGTTCTAAAAAAAAGTTATTTAAATCTAATTATTTTTTTACATTAAGAAATTGAGTTTTAGTTTGATTGATTAGATCAATAAAGGTTTATGTTTTTCTATACTAAAATATCTCAAGATTTAATTATTTGTGAAAGTATAGTAGTATAGTCTAAAAATTAAGGTTCTGGTCTTTTGACTTAAGATTTGACTAAATCCTTAACATTTTAGTATATCAATGAAGTAAGGTAAATTATTTGGATGTTGAATATATTTTAATAAATAAAAAGGTTGAACTTGTCTATATGAGAATAAAAGAATGGGAGAAATTGCTTAATTTTTGTGGATTATATTAATTAATATTATAACAATGTAAAATGGTTTTGGTTGAGAGATAGGTTTATTAAACATATACAATAACAATTTAAGGTATGGAGATTATTAAGATGGCAAGTATAGATAGAAAGTTGGAAGGCTAATTAGAAATCATAAAAATATGTTATTAAATTATAAATAGGTTTTGTCAATGGGATATTTTATATAGGTGAGGAAAGATTTAAAAATATAAAACTGAAAATAATATTATAATTTAAATTTCTGTATTTTTAAACCATGATCAGCATAAGAGATTTTAGATGATATTAACGGTTTTTATAAACAATCTAATCCAAAATTCTATGATTATCTTTAGAAAAGCTTAACTGGAGAACAAACAATTAAATTTCTAATTAGGAAATTTAAGTAAATACCAAGAAAGTTAATATAGTTTTAGATTAGATTTTACTAGCTTGCTAAAATCACAAATTATCAATATTAATAATGTAATTTAAGATATCTAATAACATGAATTTTGTTATGCTATGGCATATATTAATGCCCAAATATTGTTAGCTGCTTGTTTTTCAAATGAGATCATATTATTGGAATTTAAGTTATTATTAGATATATTCAAATACAAAATTAAAACAATAATCTGACTATATTGTAACTACTTGAATGATATTTAGTAAAATGAGTAATATTTACAATGGATCCTTAAATATTTTGAAGGAGATCATAGAATAATATTGGCAATAAAGATCCATTTGGGATATCCATGAAGGATTAATTAAATGTTTAATTGTAAATAATAAAGAAAATTAAATCATAAAAAGTATTTTAGATAACTTAATTATTGTTTAGAATGCTAATGAATTTTCTTTATCTTACTCACTAAAGATTCATTATAAAACTGTTTTTAGTATTAGTCTAAATGTGACTATATCTTCTTTCGTTTATATTCTTATTTATAATTTGTAAAGAATTCTAAAATACTTTTTGAATTTAAGTATGGAATAAAATAATCGATATTTATTGATGAATCTAAAAATTGAATTTTAATTGTGGATTTGCAAATGAAATCACTAAAAGTTAAACTAATCTACTTGTAATTATCTGTATCTCGTATATTTATTAAATAAACATCAAAAAATACTGCTGAGTATAAGGAACCAAGATTTCCAAAAAAAAATACAATAG